ATAATAGGTAAAAAGTAAAATGATTTGAGAGGTTTTTGCTATTATACGAATATTTTTATGTTTTTCAACTATTTTTTGGAATTAACGACTTTTATGTTACTACTGTAACAGTACTATTTTTATCGATTTGTTGTTTTGTTACTATTTTTGAGAATTTTCATATTTTCTACTATTTTTGAAAGATTCATTAATTACGGAATCATTAAAAATAAATATAATAGTATAATGACTTCTAGTTTAGAGTTAGAGACATTAGTATAAAGATAAAATTTTTTTATAAAATCTAGATAAATTAATACTAATATAATTATAAGTAGATTCTTAAATTTGTTGAAAGCTTCTTCTTAATTAATAATTCAAATAAAAGTAGTATTATTTTGTAGTAATTTGAATAATGAAGCAACAATTTGTAAGAAGTCTTTAACAAATTTTTAATATCTAGCTAATTTAAAAAATAATTTTAGTCCTTTTATAATATAATTTTGTGAAAATTTAATAATTTTTTGCATATTTAATGAATTAAAAGATATTTTATCTTTGTTAATTATATATTTTAGGAAGAGCAATTTCTTTTGGATAAAATTGTATTTGATTTTATTGAGTTTTAGTTCAACTTTTTTTATTTATTAGAATATTAATTATAAGTATTACAAGTATTTTTCAAAAGTTCAGAAAAAAATATTAATATTATTATTAATATAGACTATAGCAAATTTTTAGTTATAATTTCCAGACATATTATTTATAACTTGTTAAAATATAGTAGATTTATTATATAATTCAAATAATATAACATTAAATTTGAATAATTCTTTACAAGAAATAAAAGTGATCTTTTAAATACTATCAGGATGCATTTTAACTTGTCAAAATTTATCAATCAAATCAGTTGATAAAAATTATTTTGCTTTTCCAAGAATATTTATTATTTTATTAATTCAAAATAAAGGATAAGTATCTTTCTTTATAATTAAATTGAGTTTTTAAAAGTTAATACAAAGTTATTTCTTCTTGTTGTTATAATAATGAACAAAATCCAAAAACTAATAGAAGATTAAACTATTTTAACATTAATCATCTTTCAAACTTCTTCTAAAATAAATATTTGGTCTAGTATTATTACTCAGTAAATACTTTGTCTAGTTAATCATTTATTTTCAGTATTAATTATATATTAAATTTGGTTAATTCTTTTGAGTTCATGAAGTTCAATAGTAAATATATCTTTAAATTTTTTTAATAATTAATTTAGAGCTTGTTCTTGTTTGTTAATTAATTCTTATTGTTTTATTAGCTTATCTTCTTTTTTTTTAATTTAAAAAGTATATTATTATATTTTTACTGTTTGTTAATTCAAATCTATTGGTTTTATAATTGAATTCTTCTAGTTTTTGTCAAGTATATACTGATTGTAATCTTTTAATTAGAGCTAATTATAAGAATATTGCTTGTATAATTTTGTTATTTGATTGAACAATATAATTTTTATTGAATTAATTATATAATATTATATTAATATTTTTAGCATAGTTAGAGTTAATAGTATCACCTTTGATATTATTACTATTTTGAGCTTTTGCATATAAAAGTATTTCAAAATGATAATAGTAACTGTATTTATAGTAATTTACTTTGAATTTTATAACTAATTAATATTTATAATAATAAAATAATATTTCTTAATAAGATAAAAATGATAATAATAAAAATTAAATTTTAATGATAAAAAAAACTATTTTTAACTTCAAAATTAAATTAATTTAACATAATAAATTTAAATTTAAACTAAATAAAACTTAAAATCAAACTAAAAGAATTTAAATCAAACTTGAAGAACTTTTACAAAAACTAAAAAACTTAAATTAAATCTTGAAAACTTGATTTTTATTAATTATTAGCACTTGTATTTATACATGTTTTCATGTTATAATGACACAATATGATATAGTAATATACAATATGATACAATATAATGTAATTGTGATACAGTATATAATATAATAAATCTATACTAATATTATAATATTATTAGTTCTTCTTTAAATTATACAAAATTTAACTATATTATAATTAATAATCTTGTTTTATACTAAAATACCAATAGCAAAAATAGAAAATAGAAACTAAACTAATATAAAAAATAATAAATTTACCAAGAAAATTGTGTGATTAATATATCCAAATTAAGATAATAATGAAATAAATATAAAAAAATAAGAAAAAAAGAAAATAAAAAGAAATAAAAAGAAGTAGAAAGTTATTAAACTAAATATATAATTTAAGTATTATTATAAATAATTTTTATTGTGACTGTATCTTCTATTTATATGTTTATATATTGAATTAATAATAATATACTGAATTGGTAACAATATTGATTTTTTTAAGAGTAAAAGATGATTAATATATCAATTAACATGCTGTTTCAGAGAGTATTTCTATAATAATGAGTAATTATTCTTTAGTATATCTGATATCAAAGTTAGCATTATTTTTATAAGCTCATTTTGATATTTCATCTTTATCTTTATTATTATAAATAATTATTATATTATCTAGATTATACTCATCCAAAGTTTTTTTATATAATTCATAAATATTTTTATCATTGAAAGTTATATTATTTTATATTTAGTTAATTTTGTTTTGAATTTTATTGTATAATTGATAAATTTTATTAAATATATTTTTTAAATTGAAAATATTAAGTGTTTGAAGTAGTGTAAACTTTTTCAGTAATTTATCTGATTTAGTAATATATTTATTAATTTCTTAAATAGATTTTTTTTCTTTAATTATTAATATATAGATATTTTGTCTTTGTTAATTTTTATAAATAAATAATTAAGAACTCAAAGAGTTATGAAAGAATTATAAAAAGATTTATAAAAGATAAAACACAAAGTTCTTTAATATATGAGTATTACTTCATCAAGAAGTAATCTAAATTATTAAGAATCTTTATTATTATTCAAGAAAAGAAAATACAAAGTAATTAATTCTTCTGATAAATATATAGTAAATTAGTTATTATATGTATTAAAGAATAAAAGCAAAGAAACTTTATTAATATTAAGTTAATTAAAAATTATCTATCTTTTTAGCTAAAATTTGTTATATTTATAATAATTATTCATTACTCGATATTTTCAATCTAGAATTAATTTATTCTATTTAGAATAAAACTTAATTCATTTTATAAATTATCTTGTGGTGCTTGCCTCAATATTTTGTACCTTTTATTTGAGTGTAACTAATTACTATGAATTATTATTAAGCTAATTTGGTTTTTAAAGATTAATTAACATGTGTTTTTTATACTAATAATAATAATATAAAAATAATAAAAATTAAATACAAATAATATAAAATAAAATAAAATAGTATGAAATATAAAATGAACAGTATGAAATATATTTAAAATAGAATAAAATAATATAAAATATATTAAAAATAAAATAAGAATAGATAGTATGAAATATAAAATAAATAGTATGAACTAAAAAGAGATCATAATTTATAGATTATATATTTACTAACTATCCAATAGAAATATACTTAAAATAATATAATATATTTTATATCAAGTGCTAAGTTATTATATAGTAATACTATATTTAATATAATACAAAAAATATTTTAATTATAAAATTACTAATAATTGTCAAGAACAAAAATAAGTTGTCAAAAAAATTTTAAGAACTTTTATTTTTGAAAAAAATTCTATAAAATTATAAAAAAATATTTAATTATATAAAACTTTTAGTTTATAATAATTATATATATTTAAAAATTATTAAAAATATAGTTATTATATTAAATTAATAAATAATTGCTATTAAAATATATTATATATTATTAATAATAAAAATAAATTTAATCTATTAATTAATAAACTAATTTATAATATTATATAATAAAAATTAATATATAATATATAATATCTAATTATTAAATATTTATATATATAAATTTTTTTACAGAAAAGTAAATACAAAATTTAATTTATGAATATATATAATAGGATAATAAAGTACAATAAAAATCAAAAACAAAAAAACTTTATGAAGAAGAATTATTCGCCGAACTACAAAACCAATAACGTTTTGGCCTGCCAAATAGTCAACTATTCAATCTTTACAAAGCTTACAAAAAAAACAAATTTGTAATCTATATTCTTAGCTGCTTTAATTACTCATATTACCTTATTGATAAACAATTACGAAAATAAGATTTTTTGTGACATTAATGTTTTATAGTATGCCCAATTTATCAAATACATGTAATATATTCGAGTTTCCATAACGACAACAGTCAAATGGTCATTTTACTAGTGGCTAAATGGGCTTTATTTGGGCTTTTGTCCACTGCCACCATCATCGCTAGGATAACAAGGAATATAATGACCATGACTCCACCCACAATCAGTGTAAGCAACGCCACCCCAAGGGTTGGGCGCGTTAGATGCGACAACGAGGAAAATTGTCAAAATAAAAGAGATCCAGATGAGTTTTTTGAAGATTGCCATTAGTCGAGTTCCTTCCTATTACTTGCTGACGAGTGTGGGTGTTGATAAAAAAATTTATGTCGTAAATTCTAAATTGCTGAATTGTTGATGGTGTTATGTTCATAGAAGAATGCAAATAACGACAATGAAATTAACCAAAAATATTTTCAGATCATTTTTATGTATAGAAGCTGCACATAGCTTCATACACTGCAGAATACATGTATCATGAAATTGCTTTAATTGACTTTATACGTGTATACAAAAATTAATCACAGGAATTTCATTCTCAAGCTTCGACTAAGAATGGAAAGTGTTTCAAACTACAATTACAAACTGTAAAAAGTCTCTGTGAACACCATTATAAATATAGGAAATTGGAGCAAAGCTGGTTTCTCCCAAATTATAATAAAGATGATCGATTCATCAATGTACATGACATTTAATCACAAATTCAATCATTCAGATGATTCGTCGATTCATTTAATGTGTATGGTGCATAAAATCTAAAGTCATCAAACGTTTGTATTTTATAAAATGGATAAACTTCTTTACTAAGAAGTAAATACAAAATTTAATCCGTGAATATGCTCAGAAAAGACCTATTCTATCATATTCACGTTTTTAAATTTTGTATTTACTTCTTAGTAAAGAAGTTTATCCATTCTATAAAATACAAACGTTTGATGACTTTAGATTTTATGCATCTTATACGTACAGTATTCGATCCAAGGTAATAAATTATTTTATTTATCAAATAACGATAAATTAACTAAATTTTATTATTAAATGTATGTAATTATATCAACTATAACTAAAATGTAAAAAAGTTCAATCACTCAAAAATTTTCCAAATCATTATTATAATCAGTCAGTCAATCCGGATTAGATCGATTACGGATTGAACGATTCGGACCACTGCATACTTGATACATGTATATACCAGGTAAAATAACAATTTTCGACCAGTATAGCCTTATCACAGTCAACCCTCTTTATAAGAACACGGTCGGGTCAGAAAATCCGATGCTTATATAGAGTTGTTCGAAAAGGCTTTTTTTAACAAAACTATTAATTATTTGGTTCATTTGGTTCTCAAAATTGCGTTCCTGTGTAGAGATTGTTCTTATATACCAAGCGGTTTAACTTGTGATATTTGCATTTCTTTTCATACAAGGTGTTATTGCGTGTTTGGTTTATTAAAGAGACTTATAAAAACGTGTTTACATTGAACGAACAAAACATATTTTTGGTGGGAACAGAAATTAAGGATAATCTTTCCGTTCGAGTTATATAAGCAAACAAACATCACAAACACTCACTAGCCGCAAAGAAGCAAAAGAAATTTTTCTATAAGAAAGAAATGAAATGATAGCGAGCATATCAAAAATGCACACAAGGGAAACTTGTCGATATGACAAAAGACAAAGTGCGTACATATATTACAGAATGTTGTATGTGATCAAGAAACTTTTAGCTAAATTGGTTTTTATGTTTCTTGATCCTCGCTTTGAGGTGCTAACCCGTAAAACTATCCACAACAATATTTTATCCGAATAAACTGATTCATACCCAGTTCAAGTCGTTATAAACCATTAACATTTATTCAAAACCGGTTTATCATGACTACACCCAGAGCACGTTTTTGAAATTGATTTAATTAATTTGTAAAAATATATTGTCAAAATGTGTCGTGAAATTAAACTCATTATTCAAATAATATGTAAAACGGAATTCCAAATAAATTTATTTCAGGAAATTGTAATTTTTGTTTGAAGCCCCGAAACCGGCAATTGAAAAATGCACGATCAATTAAAGAATCTATCAATGTCGTCCATTGCAAATAATAGATAATATATTTGATAACGTAAGTGATGAAGAATCTAAAAGATTACATGTTCTTTATTGTAAAAATATTATAACATTTTTGGCAAAATTGCAAAATGACGAGATCATTAGCCAATTCAAAAATAGTATCTTTAAACTGACCTCTAAACGTAATTAATTCTTCAAAATAAACCAAAAATCTCGAAATTAAAAATCAACGACTTAGAGAAAGTTAATTCAAGTACCAAAATCCATTCTCTCTCTATACAAGTGGTAAAAGCTAAATGAAATTAAAACAAATATCGAAAATGGGTGCAGCTAAAAATGTAACTTGGTTGCCATACAAAACGTATACGTACATGTATCGTATAATTTCTGTATATACTGTTCGTATTCCATTTATCCAAGATCAGAACGTGTAAATGACGATCCTATTTGCTTTTTCGTTATCGTTATCGTTATCGTTATTAATTTATCAAGTATTTAGCTTTCAATAAAGCATTGGAATGAAATTTGTAAACCAAAATCCTACCAATCAGAAAAAATGACACAAATTCAATCTTAGAAATGTTAGTTTCAGAATTTTCGAGTCGAAGTGACCTTGCAGCAAATTACTGATGTATTTTCACATTATACACACCCATTGTTTGAAGATGCAAAAGAAATGACTCAATGGTATTACAAAAATACTTGGATCTTATAATATAGGAATTCAACGGTTCAACTCAATTTGGAACAAGATGTTTATAAAGCATAACGATGATGTAATGTCCAGGTCGAGGTATTACAGCCAAGAAAATGACGTCTGATACGACTGCAAATAAAGATGAGATATTAGCTAATCCGACTGGAATGATTAATGACAGATCAAACTTATCAAACGAATTAAATACAATAACACCTATTTTTACCTAACAAAAGCGTACCAAAAGAGAAACGACCCAAGCAGCAAAACTTATATGGTTAAAGTCATCAAACCTTTATATTCTATAAAATTTCTCAATTAAGAAGTAAATTCAAAATTTAATCCGTAAATATGGTGGAATAAGGCTTATTCTATCATATTTACGGATTAAATTTTGAATTTACTTCTTAATTGAGAAATTTATACATTTTATAGAATATAAAGGTTTGATACTTACTACAATACTTGAGGCTTCGGTATTAATAATCAAATAGAAAAACATTAAACGAATTTCATCAGATTGAACTCTAGATCGATTTCTCAGACTCGGTTAGAATATAAACATTATTTCATACCATAGCTCTAAATTTGTAGATGTTGTATTCATTTTACTCACAAATGATTTTAGCATTAATTGAGGCGTAAAAAAAATTTATTTCTAAAAAGTTCTTTTTTGAAAAATCAAACTTCCTCCATTTTTTCATTAATTGGCCTAGAAACTTTGTTAACAAAACTAACAGTAAAAAATAGACAATAAAGTAAAGAGTCAAAAAGTTTAGTGTGTCAATGTGAAGAATTTCAAGTCTTGAATTTTTTGAATTAAGCGAAGTTGTTGAAACCAATAATCTTTAGTATACATGTACAAATTATATCATTGGACATATCCTGTGATCGATAATACTTGAATTTTAGATTTAAAAGCTATTGCAGAATACAAATTATAAGTGGCTTTTGTGAAATTAAAAGAATCTTATGGTAATACAGTAACAGTAATAATACATGTGCGTACAAATATCGATACGTATTACCAATACCGATACAGTTTTTGATTTGCATTACAAAAATAATTATGTAATTGTGAATTGATAATTCCATCATTTCAAATTTACATGTATGTACATGTACATGTACGTACGTTCATGCAGGTCATCTATATACGTATAAACAACAATAAATTATATGTTTCAAAGTTTTTATCTTCTTAATAAGGAAGAAAATAAAAAATTTTAATACGTCAGAATACGTAATTAAGAAAGGTCTATTCCATTATTCTAACAAATTCCATTTTAAATTTACTTCCTATTTGAGAAGAATAAGAGCTTTAAAACATGCAATTTATTTATTATTGTTTACAGGTGACCTGCACCAAAAATCTTTTAGTATTAGAAATTTTTATCACTATTCAAACCCAATAATGAATTGATCCACCCGATGCTATTAGAGTGGTGAAAAATTCGTGTAGAACAGTCAATGTTATCAAAGACAGCTAAGTATTTGGTATCATACCTTGCGAACGCAAATCTAAAATCTAAGTCTTGGTTGAAAACGAAAAATTATCGCGTAATTAGATACATGATGTATAATGCTCATAAATACAAAAATAGGATTACTGATTTTTATTTCTTTTTTTCAATTTTTTTATATTCTTGCGATTAATCATATGTACAATAGCTCACAAAAGAAACGGAATATTCGATAAAAATTTTATCTCTATCACTATTGATTCAACAAGTATACTTAAGATTGGTCTGAAGAAGTTGAACAAGAAATATTTATTAATGACTGGGTACAAGAAAGATTTGATACTTATGAGGTCACTAAAGTCATTCATACCTCGAAACTTCTACGTAGTATTTTTTAAAAATAATTGGAAAACAAGTTAGTTTAGCCATTTGAGTGATTTAAATCATTAGTAAATTTTGACCTACAGAAACTTTTTTTCCTAAGACAAAAACCTAAATTGTGTTACTAATTAAAAATGTTCTATTCTATGGAATCCATCTATATGCAAATGTAAACTTTCGAAATTTAAAATTTAATTCTAGTTGAATTATTTTACCAATTAAAATTTGGGCCTTCGAGAATCAAATTTTTGTTGATTCATATAAAAATTGATATATATATATATATATATATATAAACACAAATTAAGTTTTTGTCTTAGAAAAAAAGTTTCTGTATGTTGAAATTTATTAATTGAAAATTTTGATTTAAACGATTTAATTTCACAAAAATGGCTAAAAACTAGAGGTTTCGAGGTTTAAAATGAATACTTGCTTATTTTGTTTGGATCAATAGTGACAGATATAGAAATTTTAGAATATTTTTATCGAGTGTTCCGTTTCTTTTGTATGTAAAGTTGGTGGTCTTAGATCAGTCTGGTAGATATTTTTGGCAAGCCGGTGTATTCAGCAGCATACCAAATTTAACTCACCCTTTGTTTTTAAATTAGAAATAAACACAAATGATATTCTCAAGTTGTTTTTTATCAATTAACCTCTAATGTGCATGGTTTAACTGCACATAATTGTTCAATTAAATTAAAGTCGACAAATCGGATAGTGAAGATATATTGCTGTTGTTTATGCAAATGAGAATGGAATGCTGCAAATTCATTAATTCACAGTTATTATTTTTGAATATTACATGTAGTAAAACAAAGCAAGCAATATTTAACTCTCTATTTAAGTTGTGCGGTATTTTCAAGTTAAAATTTTATCAGAATACTTGTAAACATTGGAATCGAGGCGGACCAAAAATTTACAAATGAAAATACTATTACCACTACTATCACCATCATCCTCACCATCGAAAAATAACAAGCAAAAATCTTCTATAGGCAGAATGAGAGCAACAACGACATGGGACTCTCAAACAACATTAAAAACGACAATTTCATAGCAATTACTTTTTCTTTAAAATGTGAATCAGTTTATTATTATTATCTTTTCAATTATTAAGACTCGCAATTTTAACAAAGTAGAAACCAACTTAAATCTAACTTCGCAATATGTTAACGACAAATAAATTTTTTGACAATTATAGCCGGTCAATATTAACAAAACGATAAAATTTCCATAATGATAAGACCTCGCTTAGAATATACATGTACGTAAAAACATAGAAGCTTAATAGAAAATCTTAAAAGAAAATCTTAAAAACTTTTTTGGTTGACATAACGATAAATAGCAAAATGTGCTGTACCAAAAATATCAAGGGGATTCGAATAAAAAAACTGCTAGAAAAAATCTCGAACGATAAACGAACCCGTATTCGAAAAAAACAAACCGCAGCAAACAGAAATTAATCGAATCTAACATCGAATTAAAAACGAAAATTATTCAAGGGGGAGTTTTTTTAAAAGTATCTTTGTAGACCCCATTTTTGATCGACTTCTCGGGGCTTTGGGCGAATAGGTAGAGGAGCGAACAAGATGTTCGAAGATGATGATAACTTGGGGGATGGAATTTTTTGGAAGGAATGGATAAAGGGAGGTGGACATGTGTTTGAGTTGGGTAATGGCTCAAACTGTGTGTGGTTTTCAAATTCCACATTTGAAGATTCTTTTTTATATCGACACAGAAATTCTCTTGGATTATTCGGCCTAAAGTCAGCATATGTTTGTGGCCGCGGGTGCATGAAAGAATCAGCAGTTTCCGAATGATTGTTAAAGGTCAGAGATTTCAAGTGTTTTATTGAGGGTAGTTTCACATGTGAGCGTCGTCGTTGAGCTTCATAAGCTTCATATGTTGGCGCTGAGGAATAATTAAAGACTGTATTATGATTCTTAATCAGCGGTGGCAAATCCAATTTCGTATTATTATTCATGCGACAATTATTGAATGCGCTTTCTAATATGTTAATAAGTAAAAAAATATGTCAAAATTAAAATCCTTAAAAATAAAAAATTTTCAAATATGAATTAGAAAAGAAATACCGACCTATTTTCTGACAAGAGCGATTTTGGACACAATCAATTGGATTATTGTTATTAGCATCATCCATCAATTTCTCGTTAATATAAAGAATCGATGAGTAGAAAAAATTTGATCCCGAATTCAGTTGATGAGATTTCAACGAGTTAATCTTCGGTAGAGTGGTGAACGGTTTTTCTACCTTATAAGGTCGGATTATTCTACTACTTTCGGTAGTATTATTCAAGATTTTGGGGGGTCCACGATTCTTAGTGGGCGCAATGAAAACGCATTCAAGGTCGAACTTTTTGCACCGTTGACATGAAGGTTTACCTGAGCATCGGGTTTTTTTCTCACGGCATTGAAGACAAGCTGTTGTTATGTGATGTCTTTTAATTGTCATTGTATGTATTATTATTAGTTTGATTGAGAATATAAGCGCAACATATATGAAGGTGAAAGAATCTTATTGGGAGAATTGTTTACGAAAAGGACTTGATAATTAAAGGAATGGAATCGTACCGAGTTCTATCGTCGTAACGGGGCATTTTTATAAATACGTTAAAAGTGTCACACAGCGTATATAATATACATATATACAATAATATAAATATATGTTTTCATTTACGCACTTTTCACGTTTAATTTGTTTTAACGTCATGTTTTCCATTTTCGTCGAATTGGCGCTAGTTAAATTTTTGGATTATTGTTCAAGTTGTACCACGCACGATTTTAAACTTGTAATACTCGTCAGAATCTTTAAATTTAAATCTTTTTCGTCATTCCCAACAAAACCACAGTTTTTGATGAAGCGCTTGTTTGTGTCATATCAGAGTTGGCCAAGAAACAAATTCGATTTTAAATAAATCCATTTACAAAATTTTCCGAATAAATCTTGTGTAATTACATAATTCTGCAGATCAATAGAAAGAAACATTCTCACCCTTAAATTTTATGTAACATGAAGCAAAAGGTAAACCGACCGACCATAACATATCGGAAAAATAATGAGAGAATTAAAAACATTAATTTTCATTCAGTCGATCCGTCGATTACAACATATGGCATCATCTCAAAGAAATGTTAAATTAGCAAGATGAATGCTAACCAATAAACTCGATCTTTTTGCGAAAAGTCGAATGCACCATATATTTGCACTTTATTTACTGCCTAAGAATCTTCGAATTTGAGAACTAGCGAAAAACGGAATGAAGATTTTCGAGATCGCTATGTCACACGAAATCAAAATTTATTGTCAACAATGGTTTGTCCCATGTGTATTGGTATGCCTTACATAATATAAATAATAATAATGAATGTGCTATTGATTACAGAACCACTTGTTCATCTAGATTATTTTGGATCTAATAAATCACAAAATTGGGCGTCAACTGCAAGCTTTATGTCATTAGTTATTCCAATTAAATCCTAGATATATTAATGACTCAATTAATGCGTCATTCATAGTTGTGAAACACTTTTTTATTACACCTGCATTACAAGAATACATAAGCAAAATGTAAGCGACCTGAGTCGACAGCTAAAATTTAATTTTCACTATATCGATATCGGCATTAAAATTTATGACGTGTTACATGATTTCTCGGCAAACATTCTAAAAATAAAATTAGCCAAGATTTGCGATTTCAAAGTCATTCTTGTATATTTCAGGTTTTTTTTTATTGTCTATGAAGAGAAACCAGCTTTCGGAGTAAAAAAGAAAACAACGTTATTATTAAAAAGATATGCGAACCAAAAAAAAAAACTTTCATTCTACAAATAAAATGTACATGTATTACAAACCAATTTCTACAACGTTTATCAGGAAATTTATATATTTTGATGCTGTGGAAATTAATCACAAACTTTATATTCTTGAAATAATTCTCTTAGCATCTAAAACATCCAACAAAATTTGCCTGCCAAGCCATTACGATTATGCAAATTCAAATTAAATGATAAGAACTGGTTCTGGAAAGTAAATATGGTACTGACTAAATTCCAGTATCAAAATTTTCTCAGGTTCAAACTCATTTCGTCATTCAAAACGTAATTTTTGATACATTGTACATGTACATCAACTGATCAAGACACTTTCCTTAATATGTTTCACGCGTGAAATTAAATACGGAATTCTTACTAATAATGAATGTCGTTAATTAAGGGTCAACAACATTAATTTTTTTGCATCAGTATTATTGCATTTTAACATTATTGTAAAAATTATTTGCTAAATTGCACTAGTCTGGTCTGGAAAGTCGGGTTTTTCCATACTTTGAAAACACGCGAGTTATCGTTATACAAACAAATACAATCGATCTTAGCTTGTTACGTATATCTTCATTTATTACTCGCATGAATTTGAAATACCCATTATGTGCATCATCAAATATATCGGAATTATTATATTCAATGTGGGAAAAGTTTGGATTCTTGGAATTTCGAATATTTTTTAGAACTTGGAATTGTTTGCCTAATAATTTAGGTACCAAATTCATTATTGTACTCTTGAGGCACTATTCCTTAATGAAATCGGCAGATTTGTTTTGTTCTATTCAAGTTTTCAATTAACAGCACATGAATATTTATTGTTACTTTAAATTTTATAATAACATTTATACTACTTTATAGTCGAGATATGAAATGACCCGAATAATTTTGAATTCGACGACGATCTCCTTTGTCTCCTCCTCTTTTCATGAATTTTTCGGCATTTTCCTATTGATTAGAATAATAAAAGTATTTGATTTAGATTCTCAACAAAAAAAAATAATAGTGAATTTTGAAGATATTGCAATTACTTACTTCAATGTATTGGTACATCGGAATTGGTTCTTGATGAGTAAGTTTTCGCAAATCGTTGGACAAATAGAGAGACATATCTTCTTCCGTGGCAAATTCTAAGATATCACAGCTGTTTGTATAGGATTATAAAATTTAGAATAGATTTATTCTGCTGCATGTTTTTGTATGAATGATTATATTTATATATATATATACTACGGACACAATTTCGATTTCAGGTTCTCTCATGGGTAAGAATCGATGTGGATCTAATGCAGCTTCATCACCTCGATGACGATCATCACCTCGACGACCACGGCGGCGATCAATTTCAAGCTCATCGGTGTATCGGTCGCGTCCCTTAAGACTTCTGAAATAGTCTTCGAGTTCTTCACGATTCATTTGTTCGTATTCGATATCTCTACGGGTCGCATAGCTAAGCATGTGAACGATCTCTCTTGGAGTGATAGCATCAGGGCCACTTAGATCGTAGATTCTGTGTCTTTTGATTTCTCTTTCGTCGTCGTTGACAAAGTGGAGGATCGCTTTAATCACATCTTTGAAGTTCGCTGGAACTAATTTATCTTGTCGCCCATCGGGTGTCATGCTTAACATGCGTTCTCGTTTTATCATTCTACTCCAAAGCAACAATGTTTGTTGAAGAAGACCTAATCTATTTCATATAATAGCATTCAAAGATTAATTTTGATAGCTATACGACGAATTAAAACTAATTAATTACCTTAGCATTACACAATTTCGCATTTCGTTACACCACATTCTTTCCATTTCTTGAAATTCTCGATGAGTACGTGTATTTCCTTCATCCACTCCGAGCACAGAGCAAACTATAATTCCTCCCACGTCATTTTTCTTAGCAGACTAATATTATTGTTATTACATAAAATGACAAATTTGACTTAGATAAATAAAGAAATCGACTCAAACAAATCATATGCAATATATACCATCGCCATCATTCTCGCTTCTTCCATACGATCTTTATTGCTTTCAGCAACGAAAACCAACCAATCGACGTCATAAAGAGCTTTGTCGAGTGATTCTTTACTGCGGAAATCTGTCTCACGTATCTCGGCTCCATCTTTCTCCAATTCTCGAACGTAGTGATTATCAGGATCACGAGTGAGAGCAATGATATGGCATTCTTCACCACGGCTTCTTCTCGTTGCGTGAATTCGATATCTATATTCGTCATCATCGTCGTACAAGTTACGCAAGAGACCGCAAGTTATCGCGTTGCCAATCCAACGCTCACAAGCTGAAACGGCGATAGTGATTCTACCTTCGTGTACACCACGCCTTTTCTTGATGATTGACATTTTTTGAAGAAATGACGAAAATTGCGTGGTTGTGGTTGGATGGATAATCGGTATTTATGAAATTTGAGTTAGATGGAAATTAACCTGATTCAGGTTATAATACAAATGCTGGCAATATTTGTCATCAATAGACAGACAAATAAAGAGATAATTCCGTTTTCTCTTGATTCTTGCTTAATGCGGAATAATATGCACGTATATGCAATTTGATGGCGCCAATTTTTGGGTCTTAACTCGGTTCGAAGAAAATTTTTTTCACAGAGTATGGAGATCTATTTTAGCTACACACTAATTTCTCATTCTTCTATTTTAACAATTTATTGTTTATTTCATATGAATTTACATGTATATGGCTCCACGATCAACATCATTCTACCTGTTAATGTAAATGAATATGTCCCCAAAAATAATTGACAAATTATTTTCTCGTTGGCGTCGAAAATAGCAAATCCCTTTACGTATATTAATCGGTAGTTCTTTTTTTATATTTCTATGCAAGTGTGATTTTATATTCTATTTGCTGTATAGTGAATTCATTACTTTAAAAGAAGGATCAATGCATGCTAATGAGTCATGCCTTCATATGATTCTATAAAGCCTTCAACCTCTTCTTTCGAGATCATGGTTGTAATTGCCTATATTATTATTGAATGGTTCTTTATCAACAACGCATGTGATAATATCCAATAAGAACGTAATGAATATGCTTTATTTAGTCGTAATATTTGTAGACAAGTAGGTGATGCTTCAGTGGTTAACTATGTTTTTATGACCGTAATAGCGGATGCATACTTTGCTTCCTAATTTTTGAAGCTTTCCTTAACAATAATGCAGAATCTTATCTTAGCTTTATTGTTGGCTTGATCAAAGCTATAACTTTTGTTGCAACCATTTGGATGCTTTGACTCTTTTCGAGATGGATTTTATTACACACGATAGAGCAGCTGTCTTCTGGCAGTCAAGACGATATCGATAATGCCGCTGTGCCTCTTTTCGCAGATATACGTAATAATAAACAGTTAGGAAGGCGTAAATAATCATCGTTGGATGATTACACTGTAACAATTACTCTAATAAAAATTTTGTATTTACTTCTCAGTTAGAATTTTTAAAGAGTTCCTGCACCATATTTTGCTAATCTCTAAAGTTGTTTTATCTTTTTATACCAGATATCTTATCTAATCTATACTGATCTTGATTTTTATTGAATCATTTCGGAAATCATTAGACATTCTTAAAATTTTACCACTTTTCAAATGAATTATATCATAAATAAAGATGGATTCCAAAACTAATGATGTCATTTAGATATATAGCTGAAACTTGTTTAGATTATAGTTATATTTCTTCAGGATAGTTTAGAAATCCATTATTAATCATAGGCTTTTATATAAAAAGTTTCACTTTTGAAATTTTGTGCTAATATATGAAGAAATATATTTAATGTAGAAATAATTTTTTTGATAAATTTAAACACAATAAACTTTTCAAATTTTTAATAAGTTTATTTTTGTATTGATAACATTCAAATATAATTTTATAACATTATGCCAAATTTTTTTAGTTTATAATAAATCATTTTGCATGTTATTTTTTATATTTTATATATAAATATGCTTTAAAATATATATTACAGATTAACTTATTATATTTATTCACTGTTATATTATATCTTTTCTATTTAATACTTGATACAAATTTTTATGTAAAATATTTTATATAATTAAGAAACAACTAATAATTTTGAATTTATATTTTGTAATAAATAATAATAAAAGATTTTATTTAAATTTAGAATATTAATTATTAATAAATATTTATATTTATTTAATTTATCTCAAATTATTTTTAATAACTCTTATTTGTTCAATATAAATATTTTATTAAACTTCATATAAAAATTACAAAAATTATTATATATTAAAAATATTAGTTAATATAAAAAATAATTTTTATTAGATATTAATAATTTATATATTCTTATAATATATTATTAGAAATTTTCAAAATAAATTTATCACTTTGAAATCTAATATCTTAATATCAAGTTATTTAATTTAAATAAAGATATTACTATTAATAATATAAATTTAATAATAATATTTTTTTTAAATAAAATAATTAAATATAAATTTTCAGATTTTAAAATAACAAATATATTTTTGAAATTTCTAATAATATATTATAAAGATATATATAATAGTTATTATTTTTAATTACTTTAATTTGTAAAATAATTTTGATTTAAAATTTTATAAAAAAATAATTAGAGAAAAATTTGATTTTTTTAATTCAAAAAATTATAGATTTAATTATAAAATTTCTGAAATAAAATTCAATTAAATTTTAATAAAAAATAAAAAATATTTTATAATTTACACTTTAAGTTAGATAAAAAATATTTTATTTTAATTTATATAGTGCATAACATCTAAAGTCATCAAATGTTTGTATTTTACAAAATATATAAACTTCTTTACAAAGAAGTAAATGCAAAATTTAATCCGTGAATATGATAGAATAGGCTCTTTCTGAGAATATTCACGGATTAAATTTTGTATTTACTTCTTAGTAAAGATGTTTATACATTTTATAAAACACAAACGTTTGATGACTTTAGATGTTATGCACCATATAATCTTAATTAATAAATAATAATATTTTTTTATCTAAATTGAATAAAATATTATATTTTAAAGTTATTAAATTAATTATTTGCTCAAAATGTAAATAAATTTATTATTTTCAAATATAATTATTAAATTAATACTTAAAAAAAACTTGTTTTAATTTCAAATACTTAATTTAAAATATAATATTTTATAATTTGTTAGATTAAATTTTATTAAAATTTAATTAAATCTCAATAAATATATAATTAAATAGAAAAAATAAAAAAATTTATCTAGTAATTTTAAAAACTAATTATCAAATAAATTCTATTATTTATTTTTTATTAGTTTTATTAAATTGAAAAATTGAATTTTTGTTTAATTTTTTTTATAGAAAAATTTAATAAATAATCATTAAATTTGTTTAATAATTTTATTTTTTCAATAAGAATTCTAAAAAAACTCTAATTTAATTTAAAATTTTGTTTAATTAATTTGCATTTAATTAAAAATGTGTTTCAAATTCAATTTAAATTTCAAATTCGACTTGAATTTACAAATAATATTTAAAAAATTATAATAATAATTAAAAATAATATACAGTAACTAACAGAATTATTAATAAAATATAGTATAAATTGAAATTTTTGTCTTATATAAAAGTTTTCAATTTTATTAATAAATATTTTTATTTTATATTAAAATAAAGATTATAAATTATAGTTTAATATATATTTTTTTTTGGATTTTTTAGATATTTTTCTGATAAAATTATTTTAATTGCATAATTATTGCAAAAATTTTTTATAATTAATTTTATATTTTAATTATAAAAAATTTTTGCAATAACTTTGCAATTATCAGAAATATATATATTAAATTATAACTTATAATTTTTATTTTGATATAAAAATAAAAATATTTAATAAAATTGAAAACTTTTATATAAGATAAAAATTTTAATTTTTACAATATTTTATTAATAAAATCAATATATAATTCCATAATTCTATTAATTATTATATAGTAAAAATCAAAAATAATATAATATTATCAAAATTTATTAATAAATATAGTAAAATATATGTATTTTATATAAAATTTTTTAATTTTATTATAATATTTTTTAATTTTATTATAATATTTTTTATTTTTATTATAATATTTTTTATTTTTATTATAATATTTTTTATTTTTATATTAAATAAAAATAATATCATATATTTTAATATATATTTTTTCAGGTTTTTTAAATTTAATTTAATAAAGCTCTTCTAATTATATATAAAGTTACTGAAAAAAATATAAGAAAAAAAAGAATATTTTAATAAAATTAAAATTATAATTTTACAAATAGTGTAAATATTAATATATTTATTATAGCTAAAAAATCAATTTAATTTTACTAACTAAAATTATAATAATATAATAATTATTTAAATATTATATTTAAAATGTTAATTTTAAAAGAATAAAAATATTTTGATAAAATTAAGAAAATATATAATACTTAATAATTAATTATCAAAATTATATAAAAATATTATTATTTAATTTATCATATTTAAATAATAATATTTTAATAACTAAATATTAAAATATTATCTTAAAAATTACTATATATTATATCTTTATTTCTGTATATTATTATAATTATAATTTGTAATATTATACAAAATTATAAAAATTATGTAAAGTACTTAGAATATCTTTTAATTATATCATATATTATTGATTATTATATTTTTCTATTTTTATTTTTCTATTTTATATTACTTTATTTTATAATTTTATACTTTTATATAGTTTATTATTATTTATTTACTTTTTTATGTTTATATTTTTATATTTATTTCAAATAGCATTTCTATCAATTGAATTAAACTAAACTTTAATAAATAAAACTTATTTAATTAATTTTAATAATATTATAATATCTTGTAACAAGTTATTGCTATTATTATTTAATAATATTTTTAATCAGTTACTATTAATATTAAATAAAAATGAATATATATTAATAATATAAATACTATAATAAAAGTTTTTTGAAATCAAATGAATTATCATAACATATCTTCCAAAAGTATTCTAGATTTTGTGATATAATATCTTCATTAATAATTATTTCTTAACAAATATCTTTTTTAAATAATGAGTTTTGGAATATATTATAAATTGAATATAATATTGAGTATTTATCAGATAATTCTATAATAAATATAATTCAATATTTTTGATTAAGAATATTAGCAAATAATTACTCAATAATAACTTTCATTTAGAGTGAAGAAAATACTTCTAATATTC